TGATGACAGCGAGCAGGGCACAGCATCGTGAGTATGCTGATGGGGGGAGAATGTGGAGAGTGGGAGGGGAGCGTGGTCAGGGGGCCAGCAGAGCTACACAGGAGGCAGTGCAGGGGCAAGGCTGACTGCTGTCCCCTGTCTTAGTGCCCTGACCCTCCCTGTCACTGCACACCAGCCAGGGGGTGTCCCTGGGGGACAATGTCACCCTGCGCTGCCACCTGCCCCAGCCAGCTTCCCGGGTCCGGCTCTGCCAGGAAGAACGATTCCTCTCCTGCATGTACAAGCACCAGGTACAGAACATGGCAGAGTTCTCCTTTGTTAGCACAAGTAAGGAACATGCGGGGACATATCGGTGCCAGTACCAGGTGTCAGAGGAATGGGGGGCATGGCAGAAGAGTGACCCCGTGGAGCTGGTGCTGACAGGTGAGAGTGTTGGGGACAATGGGTGGCCCTGGTCGATGCCCACAAGGTTATGTCTCATTGCTGTCCCTTCTTTGCACACAGATCACAACTCACCCCCACCCAGCATTTCCCTGAGCTGGGAGGGATGCGTGGAGATGGGGAGCAACGTCACCCTGTGTGTGGAGACAAGGACCAATGTCACCATCCAATGTAGGAACAAGGATAATGGGACCTCCCTCCTCCTGCACAAGGATGGGTGCTCAGCCCCTGTCCAGCGCCAGGATCCTGATGGTGCTGGCACGGCCTCCTTCCTCCTCTTTGGAGTGACCCTGGCAGACTCTGGCACCTACAGGTGCTCCTCTCGCAGCAGGAACTTCCCCTTTGTGTCCTCACCCCTTGGGGACAGCGTGACGCTGGAGGTGACTCCCACACCCACACCCTCAGGTAGGTTCAAGCCTCCTTATTTTGTTGCCCCCAGTGTCACCCATGGGTGGCAGAGTCATCACATCCCATCCCTCTGCAGGTGATGCTGGGGATGAAGACACCCAAATACCTGCATCCCACAGTGCTGAGTTGGTGTCCCATGGGAACCTGGTGCTGGTGGTGGTGAGGGGCTGCGCTGCTGCCCTCATCTTTGGCCTCGGCATCTTCTTTGTCATCGATGCCCGCAGGCACTGGATACATAGATGTGAGGCCTGGTGGGGAAAGTCTTAGATGGTT